AACTTCAACATTCTGTTTAATTTTTGGCATCCCTTTACATAATATGGGTGTATTACAAGCTCTTTTTGTGTAAGAATTTTCTTAAGAACTTCTAAAATGTTCTGACAATTTACAAAATATAGCATATGTTGCTGTTCTTTGTATAGCAATAATTTTACATCCAACCTAATACTATTGTTTTGTAATAGCACCCAAAAATATTTGTTAAACTTCTGAATTATAGAGATGCTTTATTACCTGAAAGTTTGCAATGCTTGGAATTCATCTTATGATACTTCTTGTTTTGAAGTATATTGTATTGTTGCCAGCCAATAGTGTTAAAGTAGTAATTACCTAAAAATTTTCATATAGGAATATTGTAAAGATTTTTTGAAGCCTCTCCTTAAGTTCACTAAATAGTACTCAATGTCACTATCCTAGCATCAAACTTACTATGTTTGCTAGTAATAAGGATAATGCTTACAATGTAAATTGAGGCAGCTGTACATAAAGCCTCAAATAATAAATTTTTGTCATTCTTTTACAACATCTTCTCTATATGCCAGAGGAGCAATTGGTTTGCACATCCTGTATTCAAATATAATTATTGGAACAAAAGAAAAAATCTTAAATGAGAGGTATTTGAGTTCAATAAGTTTATTTTTTGAGTAAAACTTTATACTATTTAATTCTGTGAAAGGCTGAAAGCCTAATTTTTTTTTGAAATTGATATCTTGTAATCTATCCTTCTTCCAGCAACTTTTTTTTAGAAAAGATTTATATGGGGATAAATTTAAGAAGATAAGTTGAAGATTCTATAACTAATTAAATTAATTAATAGTTAAAAATTCATACATTCTAAGTAATAAATTTATAATTGTAAATGGCTAGACATTAGAAAGAAATCCAAAAGTTATTATAATAATGGATGTAGAATTTGACATAAAAATATATGAGTTGATAAATAACCAGGAAAGCAACTTAATAATAAAGATATATGGAATCTAAAAACTGAATTTCTTTTGTTTCAAAAAGTAGCTGCTACCACTAAGTATTACACAAACTCTATTCTGACCCTAAATAACGGCAAATCTTCTTTTTAATATTTAAGTTTAATTTGAATTTTATTTGTTTCACACCTTAATTTTATCTATTTTTTATTTATTTCAAAAAATCAATTCATCAAATATATCTTTCAATTTGAGAAAACTCAAAAATCAGTGATTATAACATTAACATAATGTAGTTCAGATACTTAGAAAATACATTTCTATTGATTAAACCATTAAACACATAAAATACGAAATATAATAACTAGCAATAAATATTTATTGATAATCAGAATTTAAAAATACTATTAGTAATTCTTTTTCTTGTTAATTTCTAATCAGTTCCTAACTATTCTTATTACCATTAACATAAGTATTTTTATAATTGTTGGTAAATATCAATGGCTAAAGTGAAAATAAGAATTAATGTAAAACCCCCTACATTAACCCAACCTAAAATTTCAGCTAAGCTTTTGTCTTAATTAAATTTGATTATGTCGTAAACTGAAAAGAGTTAAACATTAAGCATGATCAAAAGTTCTGTGCTAAATATTTTTTAATTTTCATATTTATTTTTAAAAGGTTTATAAATCTAAATATATAAAGCAAAAGTTCCTGATAAACAACCTGTTATTAGACACTAAGCCCCAAAAAGATCTTAAAATAAAACTAAATTCACAATGAATAGGGTTTTTTTAATCAATAATATGGTAAAGTATTATTTAGAAACTTATTTTAAATTATTATTAATTCCTTCCACTAAGACTTTTAATACCTTGGGCACTTCATCTTTTTTGCTTAGATAAGAAAAAAATAGTGTGATTAGAAGTAAATTAATTTGTAATGTCATCAGGGCTAATAATGAAATGGTTGAATTTAAACTATTATCTGTGTTATAATTTGCAATTTATAAAATAGATGCAAAGGTTAATTCATAAAAATTAGAAGTAAAAATTCTAATTAATCCAGAGTAAATGAAATACTAATATTGTCTTCTTGCTATCTTCTATAAAAAAAAAATAGATCTGGAAATTCGAAAGAATTTATCATAATAATTGTAAAAAATAGCTGGCCAATTTTAATATTTGATAATGATCAGAAATTTATAGAAGAAATATGAGAAGATATAATAAGCAAATCCGATGATCACAACAACTACAAATGTTTGCAAATTGTTTAAAAGTAACAATTGAGTTTATAGGATTCAAATTTCCACTTAGCTGGTATGGTTGGAATTTGGAAATCAAATAATTCCTGTAAATGTGTATCTATTTAGAAAATATTAACTATTGGAGTAAAATTCCCAATTGTAAAAATTTCAAAATAGACTTGAAGGTTTTCTGGGAATTAAAGGTTATGAAATTTCATATAGGATAATTATTACAGCATATCAAGGAGATTCCATAAAATTTCTAAATTGCCGCAACAAAAAGCTATTCCAGTGACAAATAAGATGATATACATGACTATCTTACTAAGAAGGGCTGTTTTATAAATAATAGTTATCTTGTGACATTTTATTAGGAGATTTTAATAGTAAATTTGCTTAGTTAGAGAGTAAAGTATTGTCCTAAATATTTACAATATTCTCACATCTGATTGTAACTGTTAATTACGGATTTGAAAGATTACTTTTAAAATAGACTATTATCTTATAACTTACATCAGCCAAAATAGGGGTGATTGGAACAATGGGTTTGATTTCAACATCATATTCAGAATGTTAAACAATTTCAATAGTAACAACAATCATCTGAAGAAATTATTCTTCATTAATTTCATTTACATTCAAACGTACTTGTTCAGAAAATGATAATCGAAATTCTTGATTATCTGATTTTGATTTTGATAGTTTAGTAAGGATAATAACAGGTTGAATATTATATTTACACACGCTTATATTATTTTCTTATTAGCATCTCCAATTATCTTCAACTTCACAAGCATTATTACATCCATCGTTATTCTAAATGTTTCCATCGTCACATTATTCTAATTTTTTTATTAGTAAACCATCTCCACAAATATTAAAACATTATGATCCGTCTTCTAAGTATCCATCTTCGCATAGTAAACATAGTCCTTAGAAGCAATCAAGGCACTTCTGGTGACAAGAATAGTTACAATCAAAGCATCCATCAAATTCAATTTGATTTCCATCGTCACATAATTCCTAACCTGTAATGTAGCCATCCCCACATATTGCAGTACAAATACCATTCATCAATTACCACCCTTTATTTTGGCACTCTTCACATACCCAACCATTACAACTATTACATCCTAAAGGGCATTGAATTTGGCATTTGTAACAACCGTCATAAGGTAAATAATTTCCATCATCGCATTCTTCTTCTTTACTCGAAATTATACCATCTCCGCAGAAATCAATGCATTAATTGGAAAAGCATTAATTGAGTTAATCATCCCATATACATTCCACATTTTCACTATCTGTATAGCATGCCTCTTTAATTTAGTAATTTTTACACTTTTGTTTTTTAGTGCATCCTCCTCCTTATTTGGCTGTGCAACCTGGAAAATATGCACTGCATTCCAAATATTCAGTTATTGAGATTGATGCAGTGTCACAACTTTGGTATAACATTTTTGATTAATCCATACACAAGGATTGAGATTAATATCATAAGTACAACCATCACTAGTAATAATATCTTCACAAGCCCCTCGTAAAATACATTGATACCCATTGGTTGCACATCTTTTATCTTCAAATATTGAAGCACAAGCTGAGTCAATTGCATAATTATAATCAAAACACTCTTTTCTGCGACAACTACTTTTTTAACAAGTAGAAAGGAACCGTATGCAATCAGTATGAGATTAGGCAAGTGAAGGTCCATTCTTACAAATCCTCTCCATACAAATGTTCAACTCCTCATTCCAGAAACAACTTACTCCACTTAAATTTGTCTGTCCTTCACTATTAGCTCTGGATTTGAATAGCTACCACAATTATTCAATTATTGGCATCCATTAAAATCTTTATTTACTGTACAAGATTTTAATCTTTAGTTACATCTTTCATGAGTTGTAAATGATGCTTCCAAGTTCGAACATAATAAATTAACACACTTTTTTAATGTATCCTAATAGTAGCATTCATTTCCAAATTAATCTTTATAACACTAAGTTTCCTTTGCTAAAGGACAAGAAAAGGGAAGGTCCACACATTAAATAATGTCTACTTTTACAGTGCAACTTTTATTTGAATAATAGGATTCGCATTGTTAATGAGTGTTATTTGAAATATCAGCTTATGTGCAATCTTCTACGCATCGATTATTATTTTTATTCCATTAGCAATTAGTCAACCAACTGTTGCATTCGGTTTGGTCATTTGAAGAGGTAGGTTTATTTGAGCATGTTTTTTCTAAACATTTAGTACCATCCCAAAAGCAAGGAATGCCTTATGAATTTTTCGTATTTAAGCACAAGGAATTATCAAAGTATATGCTACAATCGCCAATAGTTTAACAAGTCGAACCATCCCAAAAACACTTTGTAGAAAAAATTGCACAGTTTGCATCTATTGTCAATTTTGAACAATTAAGCAGTTGACATCCCACATTATTTAGTGACATACAAGAACCATTCCAACTTTGACATGATGAATGTGTCCAGATAAATATCGATTGAACTGCAGCATCACAATAATCTATACAAGCATTAGAATACCAATAACAGTCTATATTATCTATTGTTTTTACACATGCATCTTTATATGTGTAATTTGAACATTATTATTGTTTGAGAGTGCACTTTGAGCTTATCGATATATTAATTGTTTATAAGAAATATTTACTATTGCAATCCTCATGTGATGAAGGTGCTGTCATGCTAGTAAGGCTGCAGTATTTATTATTAGAGCATTTAGTAGCGTTAAGTGCGCACCAATAACATTTTGTAACAGCTGCGATATAATAACCATAACTATTTTGACAATCTGATTCTATTGTATGCTCATAACACATTTTATTCGTGCAAGTGCCATCCCAAAAACATCTTTCTCCAGTAATAATTTTTGCTGAACTACATATTGTAGCTTCATAGATGTGTTCACAATAACGAAAGCCACAACCCTTGCCTTGAGTGTAATTTAATCTGCAGTAAATGCTATTATTTAATAAACATTCCCGATTTGTCACAGCAGTTGTGTTAAGATCACAATTAACATAGTTTACACATTTAGCATCTTACCAGTAACATGAATGAGAATAACATTATTAAATTAGACCTATAGTTGAACAATCACCCGAAAAGAGCTTACAACCAGTAACACTATATACACAATTTTAACCCCAATTATAACAAATTAATTACGAAAGAGTATAAGTGGAATTTAAATGAGAGCAAAGTCTATCTTAACAAGTATTATTCGATTGATTATATCCGCACTTTTATCCGTTTTGGCTAATCGATGAATTACAAAGAGATTAGGAGCCTACTTACAAGCTGCATGAAGTCAATATTACACAGCAATTACAGTTTGTATCATATCGATATGATGATGAGTAATTTTAACAGTACTGTCTTTTGTCCGCAAGGGTCGCTGAAGAAGGAAAGGTTAAATTCATTTATTCGGTTTAATTGATGCATTTGTATCCGCAAGAGTCAGAGCCAGAGCATGAATATATATATGAGCATTATATTCCTGATGCTGTTTTTTAGCCACTACATCTGCTCTAAGAAAGATATCTGGAGGAACAAACATCATAATTGCATTTGTCTTAATATATGCATCTATTATTTTACTTCATGAGGGCACCGTTACAAACCTTACTCGTTAAATTAATACAAAGATAAATAGAATGACATCCTTATCCACTTGATTAAAGGACACAATAAGTATTATATGATTGACATGTTTCATTACTTTGACTCTCAATATTTTCGCATTATGATGATGTTAATTAAGAACACGTAGAATTATATTTCATAAAATAGCATTTCTATTATTAAGTTGTTAGAGTTAATTTACATATGACAGGATTTGTAACCTCTCCACAGTTGCTAGGTCTCTTCTCACAACCAGGACCGTATGTTCCATCAGAATTAATTTTTAATTAGCATTCATAACTTAATCTGAATCTTAAACATTCAGCCTCAGTTTAAGCAGTAGTGTTATCAGTGCAAGCCACAGATTTACAGATTTAATTTTGATAATCCCATTTGCAAGGTTACTAATAGATATCAATTACACATTATTATTAATATTTATAATCGCACTACTCTGAAAGAAATTAGCAGGATTTGCCCATATTTTTTATTGTACATTTAGGCAGGAAGTCCTCACAATCCTGATGAGTTAGATCTCCATAAAGTCTCTTATCACAATCAGCAACTCCTTTATTATCTTCACCCTCATTCATACATTTTTGTAATTTATCATCCCAATAACAAAATTAGCCATTTATATTTGTCTTACAATTTCTTTGCCTAATGAATTCATGACAATTAGCCTTCTTGGGTTCACATCCTTCAACTTTAAAGGATGAAATCACGGTGCATTTAGGGTTCCAAGCAAAACACTCTTGATGATTATTATACATTTTATCATTTGGAGAAGATGAACAAGCAAGGGGATTAGGGCGATCTTTGCATCCACCAAGTGAATGATCAAAAATACAAGTCTTTAACCAAGTATTACATTCAACATTATTGGTGTAATTTGTTTTAGGAGCATCTGAACATTCTTATTTCTTACATTTAGTCCCAATCCAAAAACAATTTGTTCCATCTTATAAATTCAATTAACATTGATTTTTAGACATCATTTGAGTGCAATCTGTTGGCCATTATTAACATCCAGCTCCTTAAGATCTTAGAATGCAAGGACCAAAAAGCACTTTAAATTATTAACAATCATTATTGATTAATGCATTTTTTATTTTATTCATCCCACTTACACTAAAGTCCTGAAATTGTTGAATAACATTGATCGTAATTAGAAAGCTCACAACTATTCTTCTTATCTGTACAGCCAATCAAAATTTTTGAATTCTATAAATATTATACATTAACTGTGCATTTTGGTATCCACTCTTCACATTTCGAGTTTGAATCATAATCTGGAGGAGCAGTATTGCAATTCTTTTCTACACATCCTTAATTCAATGTGCAAACAGTACCATTTGAATCAATTGTACAATACTCTATTTCTAAAATATTTTCACATAAATAATCTATACAACCTAAAGTGTTTAGATTGAAAGTGCAATATTAACTTGAATTTTAGCACATTTGATGATTTTTATAGGTTGGTAATTTCAATTTTTTACATTGCAACAATTCGCACTTACCTCCAAGCCAAATGCACTTTTCTTCATTGTAATTTATTTCACAAAATTATTCTTCCATTATTTCTTCACATAATTAAGGTGTCATTTAACATCCTCCACCTAATTTCCCTATGCAATTCCCATAAAAATGACAAACTTCATGAGTAAAATAATCTGGTGCATGGTAACATTATCTTTGTTCGCATTTATTTTTATACCAAACACAATCTTATTATGTTATAGAATAGCAATCTACTTCTTCAGCGTAACCATAGCATGTTTCAGGTCGTGTTTTGCATCCTTTGTTTTCTGAAGTAACACAATCTAATAGATTATCATAATCCTAGCATTATTGATAATTCCTAAGAGAATCTGGAGCAGTGCTGCAACTTTTTATTTTACATTGATTTTAATGATATTCACATTTTTTACCCTCAGCATCCGTTACACAACCAAATATACTCTAAACATCACTACATTATCTCCTTCTTACACAATGCACTCCGTTAGTTGTACAATCACTTAAAATTTCTTTGCATTCGTAATCCTGAGTGAACAGTAGATTTTCGCACACCTTTTCTACACATCTTTCATTTTTATAATCCCAATAGCAATTATTTTTTTTACTTTTAAAGCATTAGAAATTATTAGCATATTATGAACAAAACTCCATTTAGTTTATACATCCATAACCATTCTCACTTATTGTACATCCATTTAGGCCTGATTCACACATTTAATGATTATTTAAGTATATTGGTAGACCTTCGCAAGTTAGGACATCTAAACATTGTTTTTCCATCCCTCCGATCCAAAAGCAGTACTTGTTATACTTATTTTTATTGGCACATCCATTCTGTGTTTTGTAATCACTACATTCTTATATTTGCACACACTTTGAGCCATCAGAAACACATTTATATGAAGACTCTTAACAATTATCTTTATCAAAAATCATGCAGTCAACAAAATCAATACATTAACCAAAATAAAATCCACAAAATTCTTATTTTCTACAATCCTCTTATGCATATCTCTTGCATTTATTCGAATTACTCATCTCTGTATTGTATGATTGGCCAGGTTTTATAATACATTTATCTATCTCCCAAATGCATAAGCCAGAGTTCTTGCACTCTTTTTCTGTTCGAACATGCATACAAACACATTTTTTTGAAATTTCTGAACTTAGTATGAAGCAAAAATGGTGAAACAAAAGATAATAGAACATAATTAAATCCTTTAATTTTTAAAATTTCTAATTAATTAAGGTGATTAATTTTTTATGAAGTATAATTATTAATATTAACACGCGTTTGAAACTTTGCATTTAACCTAGAGTCTAAATTTATAAGTTTTTTATTTCATAAATCAATTAAATCTCTGACCAGAGAATACACATATATAATAACTCCTTGATTTCAATCAAGTTTGCTAACTATAATTACTTTACTCGAAAGTAAGTTAATCATAGTAGATCACATTATAATATTTATCAAAATTATATTATAAACTATTATTTTTATTATAAATGAAGTTAAATAAAAATACAAAAAATCAGCACTCCTGAAACTCGAACTTTCTTTACACTTATTATGTTAGTCTTCTTTAATGAAATAAAAATTTAATAATAATTCCCTCTTAATGAGCTTAAATCATGAAATACGCTATTGAATATATTATTTAAAAATATTAGAATTTTTTTATCATTTCGAGGCTGTTATATCTCTCAATAAAATACTTGGCCAAGCAATACTTTTTCATTATTTAAAAATTACCTGTTTATATTTAGAAACAGAGAATAGCTAAAAAAATATTATTATTCATTTAAGTTAAAATAGTTAAGTTTTAAAGGATTTATTGGCATGCTTTTGATCTACTTTTTAATCTGGATCTATTTGTATTTATAAAGTTAATTTTAAATATGTTATTCATAATTATATTCCTCTTTTATAATCTATATAATTCAAATGTTTCTAATAATTTTCTGAAATATGCATATTTATTATTTAGGAATCCTTCCCTTCTTTAGCAAATCTAAAGCTCTTCAAAATATGATGAAATTTAATAATCAATAAAATTATTTCATAGATTTGATAAACTTCTTATTAAATACATATGACCACAATCATTTTGAATTATTTATAATTCATTATTAACGAGAGCGTCTTCTTAAAATGGATAATTGATTTTGCTTACACAATTACTGACTTTAACAGGTAACGCTCCATTTTATCATTTCCTAAAATCATTATACCATAAATATTTATTTCAACTTATACTATGTAGTACAAATTAAGCTGGCAATGAGATAAATCTTTCGTTTAAAAGTTTTACATAAGTTCAAGATTAAGTAGCCCGATTACTTAATGCTTATTGGGAATAGTTAGATAAAAATTGCAACCTGTTTATAAGCACTGTAAAAAAATATCTGATTCAAATAACTGGATTTAGCACTTGGGAGTAACAGCTACTCAAAATGTAATAACTCAGCAATGTTATTTAATGCTTTAAAATAGTTGATTGAGTGAAATTCATGGGAAGAGTTATCCTTTCCTTCGATGTTTAGCATCCCATAGTTATAAAATTCACTCAAGATTTCAAGCAAAACTAAGAACATCAGAAAGTTAACACTTAAAGATGAATTTTCTAGCCTTCCTTATGGGCTTAGGAAACCAAATACATAAGAATTAAAGAAACTTAATACCATTAATATAAGCAGTAAAGATGGCCGTTTTACTCTGTAGTAAACACGCAATTGATTAGTAGCTTTATTTTGAGTGAGAGGATTTCCAGTACTTAGAATTGATGATTAAAGAGAATTTAACTAAAATTAGGAGGAATCCAAATCAACTTTAACAATGATGGATTCTAAGTACTTATAATATCAAATGAATATAAAATTAAAAGTCTTATAATAAATATCTGATTGTAAATTCCTCTTTTTTTTCATAAACATTCCTATTAGAACTTATTCAAACTACTTTTAACTAATGGCAAAGTAATTTAACCTATAATTAGAGATTTGAAGGATTTCCTTCTTAGAGTTATAAACCTAATGAGATTTTTAATAATCCATTCATTCTAAACTCATGCGTACGGCTATAAAAAAATCATTAATAAAATCATAGGAGATACTATTGAAACCTCTCAAGGTCTGTTTGGTTATTCCAAATTTTAATTAGATTGTGATATTATTCATCTAAGACTTCTTCTAAAGGAATACCTTAAGTTAAATTTTCATTTTCTTTTTGAAGGACCATAACTTAAAGAAGCTTAAATCCAATAGTTGAGGTCCAATCATTTCAATGAAATCATACTATTCCATAATTTGATATAATTAGACTACGTTAATTTATGAGATTCTAACAACTTTATAAGATATATTCAGTCTCCCTTGTAGGAGGAGCTATTTTATTGAAGATTACTATTGCGAAAAATTCGGAGGAGTTTTAAGAAGAACTCTATGTTATAAATGTGTATATAAATATTTATGATTCCTTAAAAAAAGCAATTGTACAACTCAGAGGATTCAATAAAAACTCTATGATTTCTTTTTTTCAAGGGCAAAAGTATCAGAATTAATATGATCTATGTAAGGGAGAAAAAGCATAAAATTAAAAGATGGTTGAGTTTCAAATAATTTAAGGCAAGAAATTGTTGCTGATCTGGCTATTTCCATCTTTACATAGCACAATTAATTGTAATTTAATTATTAGACAGCTTATATATATATCTTAAAGTCATTATGAACCATTGAACTAAGTGACTAATGTAGGAATTATGAAACAGGCTTAATTTTGAGTTCATGGAAATATTTAAATATTATATTTTAAAATATTTATGAGTTCAAATCAATGTGGGAAGCAAAAATAAGAAGCTTTTTTGCATTTTACTAATCAAGAATTGAAACTGGCTACTTAAATATATGATTTCGCTATGGAACAAATCATTTACAAAGTTTTGCAATTCATTTCTCTTTTCTAATTCTAAAACATTTTGTTGCATTTATTCTAAATCTGAAGTTAAGGGTTATTATTAGAAGTTCAGTATCCTAAATGGTTATTGTAAATTTTCTGTGGTCTGAACTGTTGTGAGTAAATTCTATTTAAAGAGGGGGGGGGGATTAAGAATATTTGTTACCTTATTTTTTTTTATTAAAACATTTTATTTCTAGTGTTCTCATGC